ACTCAAGACACTTAACAATCGAAAGCCATGTGTGAACTTGTTTCAATCTTGAGCGAACAAACAAAAAGATCGTTTTTTTGGATTAAAGGGAAAATTTGAATATAGTCTAGGAATTAGAGTATTAAGGAATTATTGCTAATAATAGTGTATGATAAGGTATTGCATCATATATGAAAATGTTCTTATTTTTAGAGATACAGCTGGAACTACATAAGAATAAAATATTACATTATCTGGAATTTGCTTTAAAATACTTCACAAAATTGATGAAACAAATATGGCAAAATGTTAATAACTTAACTCTAGATCATGGTATTTTTTTTCACTTCTACATATGTTTGAAATTTATCATAATAAAATGTTATAAACTTATAGCTTCTCACGTTTCTAATATAAAAATATCAAATGTAACCTACACATATTTATGTGTAAGCATGTGCATTTATATGTACAAAAGAAGCCAAGTCATAAAGGTCTATGAGCCTCAAAAACAATAATAATTGCTCTGCCTAAAATGTTATCACCATAATTGAGCCAGGGATGATTAAAACTGAAATGGCAAAACAACACAGAATTCTGCAGTCTCTACAGTTTTCAATATCAGATATAATGACTTTATTATTTTACTGCTAAAACTGTTCTTGTACCTAAGTAAATTTATTTAGATAACTGGAAGGACAGACAATCAGTTGCACCTTACAGGTGGAAATTATTTTAAGTTTTAGAAGTACCTAAATTTTAAGATATTTTGGGTAATTATACTTCATTGTCTTAATTGAAAATATTATGACAAAAATATCTAGATGGTTTGCCTAAAATTCCACTTAATATCTGATATAAGTACAAAAAAAATAGATTATATAGTACTCTTAAATTGAATAGCCAGATCATTTAATAAATGAACAATATGTCCAATAATACCATGTGTGAGAAATCTGCCTAAGTTAGGTCAAATTGGATTATCAATGGAAATATCTGAAATAACATTATGTTTTAAAAAAACAAATACCACGTATAAAAACATAACATAAATACTGTTGAATCAGGATTATATGCAATATATTATTCAATTATAGGCAATATATGATTCAATATTTAAAATCACTTGATGCATTTTCCAATATTTATCATAAAAGTTTGAAACGTTTTAGAAATCACACATTTCTACACTATCAGAAGCTAGATCTCCATGATACAAAGTGAAGGTGATACTTGATGTGTACCGTTCATTCAGTTAGTAAGTATTTCTTAAAATGAATTAGTTATCTGTTTTACCCCTACATACCCTTTGCCGTCGAGTCGGTTCCGACTCATAGCGACCCTACAGGACAGAGTAGAACTGCCCCATGGGGTTTCCAAGGAGCAGCTGGTGGATTCGAACCATAGACATTTTGGTTAGCAGCCGAGCTCTTAACCACTTCACCACCAGGGCTCCACAGTTATCTATTATAGCATATTATTAAAATGTTCAATCTGTGTAAATCAGTAAACCATGTAGTGCAGATAAAAGCATTGATTCTAAAATTAATTTTTAAGTTTCAGTTATTCAGTTTAGTGGCATTGAGAAATACTGTCTTCACTGTGTGCTATGCATAGATGACTGAACTTCAGTATATAAATGTCAGAATGTGTAGAGTGCCAAATATGCTAGAAAATATAGATTAGTCAAATAGACCTACTATTTAATTTTGAGTTTCAAAGATGATCCGTATTTCTATTAAATAAAGTATAAATATATTAATAATAAAGTTCTATACTGATAATTTAGAAACAATGCAACAGCATTATATGTTTTTCCTTAGAAATTGAAGATGAACTTTTTCTATACTGTTACAAATACAGGTGAGGTTCTAAACTAGTTCACAAAATATACATAAAATTTAATCTAGCTTAATTAAAGTACCGATAAATAAAAAAAATCAAACCAGTTGCCATCAAGTCAAATCCAACTCATGGCGATCCCATGTGTGTCGGAGTAGAACTGTGCTCCATAGGGTTTTCAATGGCTAAATTTTCAGAAGTAGGTTGCCAGGCCTTTCTTCCTCAGAGCCTCTCGGTGGATTCAAACTGCCAACCTTCTATTTGTGCCACCCAGGGACTCCGATAAAACCAAAAACCAAACCCCCTGGTATTGAGTCAATTCTGACTCATGGTGACCCTATGTGTTACAGAGTACAACTGCTCCATAGGGTTTTCTTGGCTATAATCTCTTTGAAAGCAGATTATCAGGTCCTTCTTCTATGGTGCCACTAGGTGAGTTCAAACTGCCAACTTTAGGTTAGTAGTCAAGTGCAAACCATTAGTGCCTCCCAGGGACATTTCCAAAGTACTAGTAGTACTAGTCAAATTCTATGTTCTGGAAACCAAGGGCCAGGTAACTCAGGAAGGAAGACGGAAAGAAAAGGTTTCCCTTATGGACCCAGGACTGCCTCTGTGTAAGATTTTGAAATGGCTGACCTTTGTCTTGACTTTCTTCTCACCCCTTTGTGTGTCCCTCATATGGCTTGGTGGAGTGCTGTCTCTTCCTTATCTCCAAATCTTTGTGATATTCGGAGTCTTCTTCACATGGGTCTGACCTGAGCCCAACTCATTCAGCAACTTCCCAGATTCTCCACAAAGTACTAACTTTCCTTATTCCACACTCCCGGCAACAGTCATCTTTTTTTTTCAAAGCAACTGAATCAGATAGAGGCCACCAGGAAAGCAATCTGACTGAACTCATAAACAAAATATGCCTACAGCCCTTTCAGCTCTATTTGTATTACTTAAAAATAATACTTAGTAAGTATAAGGAGCCCTGGTGGTGCACTGGTTAAGTACTCAGCTGCTAACAGAAATGTTGGTGGTTCGAACCCACCAGACGCTCCACGGGAGAAAGATGTGGCAGTCTGCTTCCGTAAAGATTTACAGCCTGGGAAACCCTATGGCGCAGTTCTACTCTGTCCTGTAGGGTTGCTATGAGCTCGAATTGACTCGATGGCAATGGGTTTGGTTTTTGGTTTATAACTAAGTATCCCAGGGAGCCCTGGTGGCGCAGTGGTTAAGAGCTACAGCTGCTAACCAAAAGGGTGGCAGTTCAAATCCACCAGCCACTCCTTGGAAACCCTATGGGGCAATTCTACTCTGCCCTATAGGGTCGCTATGAGGTGGAACTGACTCGACAGCACCTAACAACACCAACAAGTATCACAAATAGATTTCTAATTGGTGGGATTTTAGGTACCATTTTTAAGATTTTCACAATTTAAAGGGAGAGGGCCTACTGCAATGATAGCAAAGCCCTTTAAGCGAGTGGATAAGCTTCTCCAAGTATACCATCTTAACTGAATGTCTTTAACCTACAGAATCAAATACAACTTTCCACTTTTGAGAACTTTCCCAGGTTCTCTATATGCTCCTGGGTTTATGAAGTTTCCCTTGGTGCAGCACAGGGGGAATGAGGGAGTGTTCTGCAGGTGGCTGGGTATTGGGCTATTTACTGTTGGGAACTGCTTTAAATAATTTGGGAGAGTGAATTTGCATTCCTATTTTCATTTGGCTCAGGAGTAACATGAAATTTGTTATATTTCATCAGCATACACCCACTCCAGAGTTACAGGGAAAATCTCTTTTGATATTAAAACCTGACAGCAGATGGTCAACTACAGATTGTCTACACAACACTGGCTTTCGAATCCTGGTAGTCAAATCCAGTTCTGGTTGCCTCTGACTCATGGTGACCCTGTGTGTGTCACACTAGAACTATGCACTATAGTGTTTTGAATGGCTGAGTTTTTGAAAGTAGATTGCCAGGCCTTTCTTCTGAGGCATCTCTGGGTGGACTTGAACCTCCAACCTTCTGGTTAGCAGCCAAGGGTGTTAACCATTTGCACCACCCAGGGATGCTGATAGTCAAATAAATTGCAATTATTTTCTATCTAGCTAATTTCAAACTTCTTTTAAAAATCTAAACAATACCTGAGCTTTGATTGCTTAGTAATAGAAAGTAAAAAATAAAAAGTTTTGGAACAAAAAGTAAACAAGATAGACAGACTTTTATAAGATATTTACATGCAGAGGAAGGAAATATTGACATGTACGTAATACATGGTCTTAGTCTCAGTTGTCATCAGGTTATGTTTCACTCCATCATGCTCTGGGAACCTGCTATAATAAAATTTTCCAGTGTGTCTCATATGATAGCAACGAGAAAGCTTTAGAGTTTTAGAATCAAGAAGTTGTTTAATGCCCCACTACCACCACCAGCTGCTCTGACAGGGATCACAAAAGAGAGTCCTGGACAGACAAGGAGAAAAATGTAGAACAAAATTCAAATTGACCAAAAAAGACTAGACTTACTGGTCTGACAGAGACTAGAGGAACCCTGAGACTATGGCCCCCGGACACCCTGCTAACTCAGAACTGAAGCCACTCCCGAAATCTACCTTTCAGCCGAAGATTAGACAGGCCTATAAAACAAACAGTACCACAAGTGAGAAACATGCTTCTTAGTTCAATCAAGCATATGAAACCAAATGGGCAATTCCTGCCCAGAATCAAGAAAAGAAGCTAGGAAGAGACAGGAAAACTGGATGAATGGCCACAGGGAACCTGAGGTGGAAAGGGGCAGAATGCTGACACATTGTAGGGATTGCAACCAATGTCACAAAACAATTTGTGTATAAATTTTTGAATGAGAAACTAATTTGCACTGTAAACTTTTACCTAAAGTACAACAAAATTAAAAAAGAAAAAAAAAAAAAAGAATAGAATTTTAGGAGAAGGATTACTGGGCCAAAAGGAATATGAATTTTAATTGTTAACCAAGCTGCCAAATTGTTTTCCAAGAGATTGTAACAATTCACATTTGCACTAGCAATGTATGAAAATATACTTTTCTCCACAAAAGAGGTTGTTTAAAAGCATCACTCCCCTATGTCTAAAATGTAAAAAAAAAATTGCAAAATGATCAGTTTTTCAATGAGTGAATTCTAAGATACCAGTGTTGGAACAGTAATTACCTGCAAGGGACTTGCCAGGGCCCTGTTTTTAGGTGCTGTAAATGCTTTGAGAACATTGTCTTCATCTTCTGATACTGGCGTCATTAAAACAGAACTTGTGAGAATATTCTAAAGGTAAAGAGAATAATTTGAAATTTAAATGAGGCTGGAAAATATGAGTGCCAACACAATTCCAGCACTTTAGGGAGTACAGTACTCTGAGGTGACATATATTAGGGTGAAAAAAATGCAGAAATTCTCTTCCCTATGAGCTAAAAGGAGAACTCAACTATGTACTAATCCTAATCCTGCTGTGGCAAATATTGCCATAGTTTTGGGCATGCAGTAGGCACTCAATAAACATCTGCTAAATTAATGAATACGTGTTTTTTTAAATGAAAGATTTACTAAGCTCTATTAGTAAACTGAGAAAACTATTTCGAATGTTTGTACAGAAGTATTTTAGAGTTACACATTAATGACAATAGAGCATAATGGTTAAAACAGCTCAGACTTCCTGAATTCTAACCCAGCATTACCACTTATTAGCTATATAACCTTGAGCAAATGACTCAGCCTCCTTGTGCCTCAGTTTCCCAGTTGGTGTAATGGGCATGATAATATCACCAATCTCATATGGTTGTTGTGAGGAATAAATGTATTAAGACATCTTAAGTCCTCAGAACAGTACTTGGCACTTAGTATATGCCTAATATTACAATAGTTATTTGCTCTGATTCTCTATGAGACAGGGGCAACTACTCATAAATTACAAACTTAAAAATTCAGGTTACCTGAACGCCAAACCTTTTTGAAAGGTGGTAACCAAAGCCATATAATATTGCATACAATACTGGGCATCCACTGTGAACCAAACACCATGGTTGGCACTACACTAGATGCTACATAACACCAAAGAAGAGACAATTTAACAAGAAGGCAATGCCAAATATAGGAGACAAATCAATTAAAGAAAATATAAAACTTGTTTTCATGGAAATATATACACTGATGCAGCAGATTTTTTAAGTGAGAAGAACACTCATATCATAAGAAAATAATGAAAAACTCTGCTATGGAACAGAATCTGTTTACATTACATCAATAAAATTTCCACTTTCTATTTAACACTTTAATAATTACATAGAAAATAATCATGTGTGAGAGAGAATAGTTAGAAATAGGATGTATTTGATGCATTCAAGAATGCTGAAATCGCAGTAGCCCTTCATGCCACACCCTGAATTTTGTGAGTCACCAACACAAGGTGGGGGCTTGTGCACATATACTTACTGGCATATCTGCCACAGGTGACGACTGCGTGAACAGCTGAGTGTTCAGACTCTCCCCTTCCCAGTGGTTTGAGCAGAAGAAGTTTCCTGCTTTATCAGTTGGAGATTCCACCTAAAAGCAAATAGGAAGTGCTTAGTTATTCTAGAACTTCTCATGAAACATTAACACTCTAAATTTTTGGCCAGTCTCTCAAATATTTACCCCAATATGAAAATAAATTCAAGAGGTTTTGTATCTAACCCATTAGAAATGCCACTTGCCACCAAGCTAAAATTTTGATCTTTGCTAGCTAGATTCTCCCACTTTTATACACGCGCACACACAACCCTAAGGAATCCCAGGGTGACACAAATGGTTAAGTGCTTGACTGCTAACCGAAAGGTTGGCAGTTTGAGGCCATTCAGAGGTGCCTCAGAAGAAAGGCCTGGTGATCTGCTCCCAAAAGGTCATAGTCACGAAAACTCTATGGAATGCAGTTCTACTTTGCAACACATGGGGTCACCAGGAGTCAAAATAGAGTCGATAGCAACTTTATTTTTTATTTAGCTAAATCAGTGATAAGAAGACTAGTAAAAAACTGCCTACCTTCTTTCTTTCTTTCTTCTTTTTCCTCTCTAGCATGTTCTCTGTCCAAACATAAAATAGAGGTGCCCTGGCTTCCCAAATGAAAGATCACACACCTACAGTCTGGGAGTGCCTTTTAACTACATCTTGTGTGAAAATTCTGTGAATGGTGCTGTTACACAGCACAGATGCCAGATGCGTTAAGTAAACAGAGTGAGGAGCAAAGTGAGCAGGATTCACCGCTTGTTCCTTCTGAAGGACCACGTGTTTACCTCTTGTTTGATTTTCTTCAGTAAAGGCAGTCCATTTTCCTGAAATTCAGCAACAATTCCAGATTCATCAGATTCCTGTTTGATCACATCCTGTATGTCTTCTACTAGATGAGATGGGGTCTGAGGCTGAAGGAAAGAGTGCGTATTTTTGCATCAGAGGAAAATTTCTATGTTAATAAGCCAACTAAACCCGAGAACTTTTCTAAAACTTACTAGCATTTTCAGGGGACCATATTTAATTTCTTGAGCTGCAAGTGCATGTTTGAACGGTGTAGGAGTTCTTGGAGAGCTTTCTAGGATTGACCTTTTGATAGCTGGAGTTCTGAAACTTTAAAAAGAAAAAAAAAGTTATTCAGTATAAGAAAACCCATATCTCTTACATTGCTCTGTTTTTCTACTGAATACAAGAAACTGTCATTGCTAGGCAACTGGGGATGCTGATTAATCACATATATTGATTAAGAAAAAAATAATATGTACATCATATATGTTAAAATATTTCAAAATATTGTACCCCTAGGACTAAGAGCATTAAAATAATTTTCATCTTTCTTTAATAGTTCTGAAGACACGTATAATGCCCTAGGTCTTTATAATGACTGGGGCCATTGTGAAGATCTGATATCATTTACAAATCAATTTTATCTATTCATTAACACAAAGCCCACATTAAAAAGACATTATGTTAACTTTTAAAATTTACTTCTTGTACTTGGAAATAATGAGATTGCATTTATTTGAAAGTATTTTATAATTCATGCTGCCTTTCTCCACCATTTGTTTAAACTGGTAAAACCTTTAAACTAAACTAAAAACCAAACCCATTGCTGTCGAGTCAATTCCAACTTATAGCAACCCTATAGGACAGAGTAGAACTGCCCCATAGGGTTTCCAAGGAGCAGCTGGTGGATTTGAGCTGCCAGTCTTTTGGAACTCTTAACCACTGGACCACCAGGGCTCCTTTATTGAAGATAAATGACTGCTTTATCAGCCCTTGGCTTCTAATCATATAATATTCCTGGTGGTGTTAGAAAAGGTCCTATCTATACATAAATTTCAAAGAGAAAAAGTAAGATTTTAAAAATGTGAACCATTCTTATTCTAAAGTATATCATCTAGATGAAATCAAAGATTTACAATCTTGTTTTCAGAGAAGAAGAAGATATCTTATTGAACGAAAAGAAAACTGTATGAAAACAACGTCTGCATATATAGGAAATTATGGAATGAATGACAAAGGATAATTTTAGTTTATCCTTCCATCTTCTACCTCTTGGTAGTGGTAACATGCCCAGGACAGATATATTCAATGTAGGAATATACATGATTATACACATACATGCAGATTAGTAATGTGGACTAAGATATTTGGAGCCTATATCACCCTAACTAAAAGATAAAGAATTTCATTCTTGAACCAAGGACTTACATAGTATTTTCCTTTTGCGTTTTCACAGTCTGGTCTCTATGAAATGGTGTTGTAACAGTCAATTTGTGACCATTGAGAGGTGTGGAAGTTAAAGAAGGCATTTCCAAGTCTAAGTTTTCATGGTTACTGGAAGTGTTTAAAAACTAAATATGGGGGGAAAGAAAAAAATTACTTAAACAGAAATTCTTTATTTAGCTCAATTTTAAAAGAAACTACACCTTGATGACAAGCATGTTTTACTGACCCATTATATAAGATAATAAAGATATAATAGGATAATAAATAAAAATATCCAACAATGTAGTGTTGGATAAGGTAATATTTTATTTCAATTGAGCACACAAGATTTGGAGTGTGATTTCCAAGAAATAAAATCTAGTGTCAATGCTGAAAAACTTGCAAAATCCTAAGAAAATATTCCAATAAATGACACTTGCCATTAAAGAGAATGAGGTGCACACTTTATTAATGCTGAAAAGGTAAAAGGGATTTTTTTTAGAAAGTAATGATCATTTTCTTTTATACTCTGTTTTCTCTCTTTAATGATTTATGAACTAAAACTATTATTACAGTAAGTTTATTATATAGTGTTCTGGGAGAAAAATAGGTGCTCCTGAAACACATGATTCTAAGGTCAAGTAAGTTTGGGAAAGACAGCATATCATAATCTCCTCCTGGAAATCCACCATGTACATCAGTATATAAAAAACTCTGAGAGGTCCTGTAGTAAAGAAACCAATTTTTAAATGTGCTTGATTCTTTGTTTCCCAAACTCATATACCTACATATTTAGAAGTTTTTCTGGGACATCTATTAAAGTCTTGCAGAACTAATATTCTGCAGAACACAGTTTGGAAAATACAGGCAAAAAACAAGATAATTTTTTGTGAGGCATCATTTGTTCATACTTAAAGCCGTGCTTGAAACAAACTCAACAGACATAATTGGAAAAATGTTTTAAAGTGCCAAATTATCTATTGATTTCAATTTTCTTAATAATTTAGGAACACAGGTCACTAATAAGAATTAGAATTTCCATGCCTTAAAAAAAAAAAAAAAAACCTATATGTAACAAGAATATTCTTTGGCAAAACTGTGCTAATAAAATATTACAGCACAATTCAAAACAGCCAATGTTGAGAAATTAAAGCAAATTACTTTCCTTAAGCATTTGTTCCTCATCCTCTTCTGAAGCATTTCCACCCATAAATGGATTGGAAGCTTTAAATTGTCTAGTTTTTAGTTAAAACCCAAATGTTATCAAAACATGGTTCGGTTCCCCGCTTCCCTGGGTCAGTGAATCACATAATAATAAGTGAACAAGATGTAGAAAAATGTTAAAATTTTAAAAGGGAGATAAAGGATCAGAGAAGAAGAAGGGACAGAAATATTAAATTCTAGTGTTGAAGGAAATAAAAGCACATGCCATGCAACTAACCATCTTCTCAAACCACCAAAGCGCAAGCGAAATCATTAAAACGTAGTCACCAATCAACCTGCAGGCAGCCTGCACTTTGGGAGGTAGTCTGACTTAGCAAGAGCTAGATTCAACAATGGAGTGAAATCAGTAGGGCAACAGTAGTTAGTCATTTGTTCCAAAGGATTAGTTTCTAGATTATTCAGGCTCAGGTGTCTGTTGAAAATTAGTAACATCTGTGCAGACATTTTGATCTACCTGCGAGGGAGAGAAGGGTAGGCTTTTGACAGGGGAACGCTTGGGAGTTGAACTGCTGATGTCAGCAAATATGAAGGAGCTAGAGTCTCCAGTGGCTAAGGGGCTGGCCTGCCCCCGCCTTTTTCGAAGGATGACCAGCGGAATTGTGCTGTGCCTTGTAGGAGGGAAGGGCTTGGGTGGGTCAAGTGAACCCTCGCTCAACAAGCGTTTGTTCAACCTCGTGCTAGGCTCTCCTGCAGGTCTATTCACATTGCCCTCTCTTTGCTGAAGCTGTAGGGCTTTGCCTGCGTGGTGTTGGCTAGGTGAAAAATCTGCTTCTTCAAAGAATTCAAAACCGCTGAGATCACACCATGATGAAGAATCCTGAAACAATGTGGGAGGCACAGAACTTTGAGACAGTGTGTGCATGATGTGTGCCATCACCTGAAACACAGCACTGAGAGAGAGATGCTGAATGCAAAGAGAAGCCCTGGCCCGGCTGACTTCTTGAGAACCAGTTTCAAGGTTAACGATTGTTCTGTCACACCGCATTAGAGGGTCTACCATGCTGTCTCATCGAGATCCCACATGTGCACTGCAGGGACCTCCTGGCATTCTGTCATTTGCATGCAATCCAAAGCAAAAAGAAACCTTTTCTAGACAGAACATTATTGGCAATATTCATCCCCTGTCCGAAGGGTATGCAATAAATGCTTTTTAACCAACTGGGAATCTGAAAGAATTAACCAAGTGTCTGCTGATGAGGTGCTGAACTCAACTTTGTTTCACTAAAGATGACTTGACTCAGTGGACCAATTGGGACTGGTAAGCAATCATCCATGTTTGGGCAGAAAGCCATATAGTACCACCAGTGAACTGACTACCACTTCAAATACATTGATTTAAGCTTTGAGTAAACATAATTCTTCATGTGGTATCCCAAAGCAAGGCAAAGTTCTACAGAAGCACAAAATAATAAACAAATTAAAAAAAAAAGTTAAATATAACTTAAAACATTATTCCTATAATCCAAACTCTGCTTATAAGTTATTATCTTCACTATTTAAAAAAATATGCATTTTGAAGGAAAAGTGTGAAACATTACCTTTTATCTGGGTAGCTTATGAAATCATAACTTCGAAAAAAGTATATACTAAGACTAAAATCATACTTTTACCTTTACATTAGCATATGCTAATAACATGATATTTGCTATAGAAAATGGCAATGATTTAAGAAATGGGTTTCCTAATTCCCCTTCCAAAACCATTAACTTGCCTTAATCCTTCTACTTACAGAATCTATAAATTGGAGTGTTTCTGCAAATTCTAAGAGGTTCTTAACATTGTCCAGAATAGTGCCTTGGTGGACGATCATGCACCTTGCTGGAGACGCGCTTTCTTCCGGTAGGGAGCCAGGATCCACTGGCAGAGATGGAGTGGAGTGGTGCTCTCCCAAACAGGAAACAGGTGCACTGTCTCCATGAGGTCTGCTGTGGTCGGCGACGGTGGTGCTGTGCCACCCGGGGTAGCTGCATGTGTGGTTCTGTGTCTGAGAAAAGGGGGAGGGAGGCGAGAAATAAAGAAAGAGCAGGGAGAAGAAAGGAAGAAGGAACTTAGCAATGAAATTGCACAAGGTATCAGATGCTGTTGGAGGGAAGATAAAATTAGTTGCATCATCCAGAACTTACTCCTATGAAACAGTTGTCAAGATGTTTCCTTTTATCAATGCAAGACCCTGCTTTTTAATAGTGGTATAGTTTAGCATCTACATGATTGCCTAAATTGTTATGATTTTGTTAAAACTGCAATTAATGGGACTATGTTACAAAGTACAACTCTCACAGGAAGTGTTTTAAACATACACTTTACCATAATTTCCAGAAGGTCCATAAATGTTTGCTGTGTGTTAAGAATTGTCCTATTTGCTTTCTAAGCTACAAAAAAGCTAAAAGATTCAAGAAATTAGAGTTGCTTTCGTCTGCATATATTCCTGTTGCTTCTATCCCTTTCTAAGGCTACAGATTGCACCGGGCAGTGAAGGGCTGCTAACTCAACGTGGTTAGGAAAGCAGAAGGTCAAGTTAACAGAAGTCTCCTTTCAGCATGATCATGCAACAGGAGAAATTGCAAAACATCAGCTAAAGTTAAAAAGTGGTCGAACTAACATACCATGCACATAATCATTTTATTATTTAAGAAAAAGAAATTTACTCCTAAGAATACCTACTGGGTATCACTTCTCTTTTATTCTGTTTTAGTTGGTTAGCTACATATGTTACAAAGCACAAGCTACATTCCCAGTTTGCTGCCCAATCACTAAAAAAAAAAAGATGCCAGAATTCAAGAGTGGCCCACGCAGTTTCCATGCATGCAAACAAATGAGAGTGGCTAGTGTTACTTATAGAGAAGATAGATCTTATTTTACGTTTATGTACTGAACATGCATCAGATCAAGGCTGAAATTATAAAGAATGAAGATCTAGGTTAAGAAAAATAATAGAAAAAGAAAAAAATCAAATGAATAGGCACCATATCTTCATTACAAGATGCACAGCTTTTTTTAAAAAATGGAGATTTTCATTTATTTTTCTTTGCTAGTCTTTGAATTGATTGTAGCCCTCCTAGGGGAAAAAAATCAGTGATGACAATCCTGAGTGGGATATTTTGGTGCTATTGTGACACAAAAATACTTCCAATTTAGTCAATATACCTGCTGGCACCAACTGTATTTTATTACAAGGAACTTCTTGTGTTTAAATATTGTTAGTGGAAACACAGAGCCTTGATTAGGATAATATTTAGAAGAGGAGAAAAAGGATAAAGAGCAGCCAGTGCCTGGTAAAGCTGGTATCCCCCAGCCCCACCCCTATTCAAACAAACAGTGACTATTCTTACTGATAGCGCCTGCTGCCCTTTCAGCTCATTCTCAGTTGACATTAGGAGCAATTCTAATTCTTTTATTCGCTTTTCTTTCTCAGGGTCTTCATCATTATAGTGTCTCTGAAATTAAAAGTTGAAGGAGAAAAAGAGACAAAGGTCTGATTGGAAGTTGTAAATACAATGGTAACTGCAATCTATAGTCGTAAAGTACCATACACAGCCCAAAGCTTCCCTGGTGAAACCAATGCCAACTGAATTTGGCTCCAGTAAAAACGTTCATGAATATTATTCTGGACTGAAGGGATCAAGGTGAAATCTGAGGTTACAGTGTATGCTGACTGATGAGCTGTTCCAGTGTGCAAAAAAACAAAAACCCACTGCTATTGAGTTGATTTTGACTCATAGCGATCCTATAGGACAGAGCAGAAGTGCCACATAGGGTTCCCAAGGAGCAGCTGGTGGATTCAAACTACAAACCTTTTGGTTAGAAGCCACAGCTCTTAACCACTGTGCCACCAGGGATCCTTCCAATATATAGTAGCAGAGAATCAGAGAATTCCAGAGCAAATTCACTTCAGAAGCGAAGATTGGTAGCTGGCTGGCCAGAACTCCACCCCGCCCCTACACTATTCCCTTCTCCTTTTACTGCAGTTGGCCAGGTAAAGATAGGTGTTCAGATGAAAGAAATAAAGCGTTTTTTAAGTCGGTGCCTTGAACAGCTAACAAGTTGCTTTAGGAAATGATCTTAAAATGATCTTACCTGAATGGCTGCAGCAGCTGGCTGAGGGACATTGACTATATTTACATGTAACGCTACAGGATATGGAACATGACCAGGGACCTAGATCAAAAAGGGAAAACAAAGGCTGAGTCACTCACGGTTACATATGCTTCAGGGGACTTGGCTTCCTGAGGTTTTGCTCCAGGATTGAGAAAATAATGCTTTACTGATAAAATTCATTAAGCAATAAAGAATAATCTGAAATTTAGTCTTTTTAAAGTGGCTAGATAGCTAAAGGAGCCCTGGTTGTGCAGTGGTTAACTGTTCAGCCGCTAACCAAAAGGTTGGCTTGGCAATTCCAATCCACCAGCCGCTGCTTGGAAACCCTATGGGGCAGTTCTACTCTGTCCTATATGGTCACTATGAGTTGGAATCTACTTGATAGCAATAGGTTTGGTTTGGTTTTTTAGATAGCTAAAACAGTGAAAGAAATCTGAAGTGTGCACCAATCCTGATGGGAAGTATTTCTTAATTAGGGAAGAGCAATGGAAAATATAATCTCAAATGCATTCATGAATGTATGATAGAAGTTTTGATGGGAAAAAGTGATGGTATTCGCTGTTTGTAAATAAAAATATTTTTCTTGAGATAATTATGGGTTTTAATGAAGAGCATCGAACCTCTAATGATAGTTCATTCACCTGAGACTTTTTTGGAAAGTCTGTGGCCAAAAGGATGAAACAAATATAGAAAAGTAAAAACTGTTTATGAATACGTTTTGCATAGAATCTGCACATAAGCTCTGTATTCTAGGGTAACGTTCATCATTTACTATTGCTAGTTTTAAGATTAAAGTTTCTTGATTTTTTCCCTTCATTCTTTCTTTTCTACCCCTTCTGAATTATTTCTTTTCCTAAGTATAATACATAGAAATGAGAAAGGAATCACAATAATCAAAATAAAGATTGACAAAAAAAGACATCAGATAATCAATGTCACAAAGTTCTTTTCTTGATTCAGAGTAAGAGCATAAACACTTCCTAAATGAATAAATTCAGATATTTCTGCTAGATTACTACCAGAATCAATCTTAGAATTATCAAGAGAATTTCAGTAAGTCAAGCTATCTCCTCTTTAAGTGTGATACTACATTTGCTTTTCATTTTGGAAAAGAAAAATATTAGCCAATAAATGCATCTCCATTCCTCCATTCTTCAGCAGCACGTTGTTAAATAAATTTCCATTCAAAAGCTAACTTCAGATTAGATTTGAAGCAGCAAGTCATGAAGTAGAGGTATCAGAATCAAACAACTTGGATTCTAGTTAGCACTATTTCTATGAGCTGTGTAATCCTGGACAAATCACTTAACATCCTCATTTTTGGATACATAAATCAGGAATAATAATATCTATCCTTACCAACTTCAAAGGGCTTAGGGTGGGATCAGTCATGATCACGTTTATGAAGGCTCTCTGAAAAGTATACAACTGTACACTGTATAAGGTGTTATTATTACCTAGTGCTAAAATAACCATGTCTCTCATTCGGGGCTTCGAACCGGTTTGTTTCATATCGTTTCAAACCTCTGCTGAGGATCTGCAGTTCTAACAAGTTCCCAGGTGATGCTAATATTGCTGGTTAGGGACCAGTTCTGAGGACCACTAGTAGAGGAAGAAAATCAAACCAAACCCATTGCTGCAGAGTCAATTCTGACTCAGAGTAACCCAGTAGGACAGAGTAGGACTGTCCCATAGGGCTTCCAAGGAGCAGCTGGTGGATTTGAACTGTCGTCGTTTTTTTGGTTAGCAGCTGAGCTCTTAACCACTGTACCACCGGGGCTCCATCAGTAGAGCAGTGTGGTTCTCAAATTTTATTATACATAAGAAACACCTGAGGATCTTGTTAAACTGTAGATTCTGATTCAGTATATCTGGGGTGGAAATGCAAACTCTCAGCAGGGGTTTGAACCAGAACGAACAGATTCAAAGCCCTGCTCTCATTAAACTAAATTCTTAGGAATGGCTTACATTTTGTGCGTCAGAAATGTGGTAATAGGAATAGTCATTGTTAACTGAGGGCTGGCCCGTTGGAGGGAGCTGAGCTGAAGGTGGAGCATGAGGAAAACCTATCAAATGACTGTTCTTCTGAAAACTTGTGGCTACTGTTGGCTGACTGGCTTTAGACGACTCCTGCAGATAACCTTCCTGTTCGACCTTCCGACGCATTGTAGAATTCCAGTGGTTCTTGATAGCATTATCAGTTCTGCACAGAAATATATCATATAAAAATTTTACAAGCAAATATTTCAATTCAGATGAAAGTTAAATGACAGAAAACTGTTTCTAACAGAGATCTTTTCTTCTGGACCACTAATAGTTTTTGTTTAATCATTTTTGTCTCCTCTGCCTCCTAAGATCATGCTGTCCCTATTGCCTAATTTATAATCCACCGATTTTTCTTAATTCCGTAACTGGAATAGATGTACTTTTCTATAAATTTTGGTATCTTTGGACCATTTTATTTCCTCGATAAAGGTGTATTCTCAACACAATAACCCTTCGTGTTCATACTAATTGTTTGTGGTACAAGACTCTGGTGTAACTTAAAGTTTCAGCTCTCCTAGAAAATGACTCCTGGGAGTGAGGTTTAGCAGGACCTACCCAGCCCAACAGGTACTCAGTGAAGTCAGCGAACGATCATGCCGCTGCTGCCTCACTGTCCACTCTTGATCTCTCATAGCACCAGCGAGAAATTTTGAGTCCAGAAAAACTCCACCATTTGAAAACCACCCAAACTGTCCTATAACCAGACAGGTGAGGATGGAAAATGGAACCCAGAAGGGTAAGGTGCTAACCCTCAAAACATTTTCAAACTGCATAGCCTTTTTACTAAAGTCTTTCAATTCTCAGGAAAACAGTTTCTCAATTCAAAAAACCGTTTTAAGCCTCTCTTTTACTATTTCAAGGGGAATGGGGGATGTAAGCGAAAGAAAGAGGAAGTTCAATTGGCCCTTTAATTTTTAGAAGAATCAACAGCATATCCTCTGAGACCATATGTGTTAAGAAGCCGTCTTTTACCAACCTCTTAAATTTTCTAAGCTTGTACTGATCTAGAATGAAGGAAATGTTATACAGCATCGAGAGAACAGTACATGTACCATCATAGCCATGGCTTCTTGGAAACGACCCTTTCTCCACTTTTGGATATGAAGCTCAAACAGAAAAAGACTTTTACTACTTTCTATCTTACATCGGAGCCCTCGTGGTGCAGTAGTTAAGAGCTTGGCTGCTAACTAAAATGTTGGCAGTTCAAATCCACCAGCAGCTCCTTGGAACTCCTACAGGGGCAGTTCTACTCTGTCCTAAAGGGTTGCTATGAGCTGGAATCAATTCAACGGCAAAGGGTTTTGGTTTTATCTTACATAATTTTTGGATTGTAATAAAATATTTCCAAATTCAACAAAATCTGTTATATGTTTAAGTGGGGAATGTGGACAAAAATGAGCTTCCATAGTTATCCTTCATAATGAGGTCATTTTCTTGTCTTGTTCATTAAAAAGAAAGCATTACACTGACATTATTTAAAAACCTGGAAGCTGTATGAGAATTCTAGAAATACATTATTTTTTTTTACTCAAAAGAAACAAAAATTAAGAAAAGTAGCATAATAAAATGAACTCCAGTATCATAGAAAATGGTGGCCAAGTTCCTTCTGGCCTCTTAATCAGCTGTGTGAACTCAGACCAGAGACAAACTGTCTTCAGTTTCCAACAATGTGTTTAGAGTTTGGTAGGGAACCAAGTGCTTTGACATTCATTTCACTTGATCCTAACATTGGCCCTATGAAGTAGGTTACTACTCATTTTGCAAATGGAGAAACTGAGGCCGAAGGAGGTTAAAAGACTTGGCCCAGGGCTCACAGCTGGGTGGCTCCTGGACTTTAACTCAAGTCTTCAACCAGATAAACTCTAAGATCTCTTCCAGTTCTAAAAGCCATGGTTCAGGTTAACCCAATGAATTACAACTGATGGAATGTAATCCACTCATTATACATTTAAAACAGAATTTTCAATACCCACTCCCTCATTCTTCCCGATCAATATATTTTTTGACATATTATTACCGTCCAGGCAGTAGCTTTGCGATTTCTGCCCATCTGTTCCCCAGTCTCTTGTGTGCCTGGTAAATAATTCTGTCTTCCTCTTCTGTCCAGGAGGTTTTCTTAACTTCTGGATTCAAGTGGTTATGCCACCTCTCCCTACATTGTTTTCCAATTCTCCCCTTTAAGTGCTTGGCAATAACAGACCAACGTTTCGGACCGTATTTCTGTACAAGCTCTATCACCTTCAGATAAACACACAAAAATAACCTGTGTTTTAATGTTATGTAATGAGTCAGTGTCATCATTCTTCAGTGTTATAAGATCTTCAGAAAAATTCTAAAAATCTGCTTTCATTCATTGGAAATATGGGCATAGGGTCCTCTACTTCCTGTTCGCACACTTAACCTATTTTCTCAAGTTGGAAAACATACAACAAAGATGTTCTGGGAATATTTTAATTGTGACTCACACCTCAGTGAAGAAAGAACTTACTCTCTGGTCTTCTTCTTTGGTCCAAGGACCCTTGATGAGCTCAGGGTTTAGTACTTTCTGCCATCGGTGCTGGCACTGCACATCTGTTCGATTCTAGGCCAATAAAATAAAGTATGCATTGTCACATCGGTATGATTTGATGTGCGCATGAAGACTTTGTTCTAATATGAATTATAATAGACGGTATACACTGAAAACATTCAAGAACGTGTTTAGGCATGTTTGGAGAGCCCATATATCACTCACTAACTTACAGCTTAAAAATAGACAAAGAATATATCAAAGTTGCATCTAAAATTAGAAACTCTGCCTCCTGAGGGAAATAGTCCTCCACTTGAACTAAAGGAACAGCATATACTGCACATGTCTTTGCCAATTTAACTTCAACCTAACCTCAGCCTGTTTCATGTGGAAGTACCTACATGGCCTTAGGCTTATTAGAGATTCATTATTAATGTCAGGCTTTTATGGAAACGCATCCTAAATGACTAAAGTTTGCTTCCCATTCAAACTAAGAGATGTGCTTCAATTCAGGGCCAGAATTTATATTGTAAAAGGAACAAAGATAAATAAAAGATAAGCCCTACCTTATAGGAGCTTATAATATAAGAAAGAAAAAAATATATATAATTAACTATAACAAAAGGCAAACTTTGGTTCACACCCAAGAAGAGATTAATGGAGAGAGGAGTATTCTGAGGACAGAGAAATTATGTCTTCCTAGGAGCAGTCAGGAAAAGCTCTTGATATGGCCTTTGAAGGATGGACAGAATTTTAACTGGTAGAGAAGTAAAGGGAGAATATTCTAGGTGGTGGGATCATCAGGAACAAAATGCCCTAGGAGAGAAAGCAGAAATGAATGTAACTAAACCTTCTTACAGAGAGGAAGTAGGAAACAGAACTGGAGCTGAGTAGGGGCCATAGAGGAGGGCCCTGGTGTGCAAGCCAGGTTGAGGAAGTTTAACTTAATTTGGGAGACTCTAAAGTTGCTGTTGTAGGTTTTGAAAAGATAAAGTACAGCTGCATTTTAGTAAGCTCGGTCTGCCAGTAGCTTGTGGGATGAATTGGAACGTGGAAAGCTGCAAGCACGGAAGCCAGTTAGGAGGCCACTGTGATAGTGTAGGTGAGAGGGAGAGAGCGTAAACCATGGAAGCAGTGATGAGAATAAAAAAGGACCATTGACAAAGGAATTTCAGACTCGTAATTTAAATACTTAGTAAATGCTTGGATGTATAGGATGGAGGCGGGGTGTGATATATCTAACATGATTCCAAAATTCTAAACCTGGGTGCTAAAGGTTGCTATTGATAAAAGTAGGAATTCAGAAGAAGCTGATTGGGAGAAATATCATGAGTTTAGTCACTTACCATGTAATAAATCACCAAAATGCTAATTTTATTATCTTAATAAATGAAAACATAAAACAAAAAGCAAATGTTTTAAAAAAGTTCTAGGAATCCTTTAGCAATCTATCTAGAAATTCCAGTTATATGTATGACAATATAAAATATGTTATAGATGGGGCATTTCTCCCTCTACTTCTTATATGTGAGCAAATACTATTTAATATCTTTTCCTAGAATATCTTATTAAAATATTTGGGAGAAGCTTCCCTTTTGCAAAAATAAAAGAAAAAAACTACTAACTTACCGGGAGGTAATTGGCAATAATTTTCCAGTCATCTGTTCCATTCTGTTCCACCAGCTTCTTTAGTTTTTCATCCTAAGACATTTAAAAGTACTCCTAGGATATCAGTCATTTACTAAGTAACTCTACTCATGTTAGAAAAAGGAGGGAACCAATTCAATAATCCAATCCAGAAAAAAAAAAAACCTCTCAAAATATCCAAATACAACAGGTATTAATGTGATGTACTGGTTTAGAACATAGATTTCTTTAGAGTCACACAGACCAGATTTTGAATTTGGACTCAGCTACTGATTAGTTGTATAAGCTTGGGTATATAATTTTATCTTTCTGGGCCTTAGTATTGTCATCTATAAAATGGGAAAGCTGATATCCATAAGGTTGTTTGGGAATTATAAGAGGTAATTATGCAAAACATTTAGCATAATGCCTGGTACATATTGACTATTTAATATATGGTAACTGTTAATACTTTTACTTTTTGCAGGAAAAAAATAACGGACTCCAATGTTAGATTTAGTAGACATTTAACTATTGCAGTAGATAGGATCTCGAGTAAAAATTACAGTATTTTCAGTTAGTTCAAACTCTTTCAAACAAAAAATGGAAGACCACTTTGTAATTTAGCTTGAAAGGCATGTATGATGTAAGAAAATAGTTCAGTTTTTGTATCAATATATTCATAAGTTAAACGAGGTCAGCCTTACTAGAACACAGAAGATGTTAAACATCAGTGGGCAATCTGCTCTTTCAGTTTAAAGACTGTTCACTGCCCTACCCGTTTTCTAGTGTCTTTCTAAATGTGTTCCTTCAGGGGAATGATATCCTTATGTTTCTGCAAAAGCAACAACATTCACACACAATGTGGGTCACTGGTACTATACAGACACAGGAATTAGGAACCAGTGTTAACAAAAGAACTTCTTTATCTCTAAGGATCATCCAAGTGCACTTCCTATGGGCATTTTCTACGGGCCTCACTGGAAATCCTGCCTACCTTCCTGCCTGCCAATAGGAGCTCTCATTTAGATGAAACAGAGTGGAATGAAACTGAAGAAGAGTTAATACCGTTTATTCTAACACGAATCCTCTAAAATTAGTTGCAAAAGAAGTTGAGAACATTAAAGAAAAATAAACAATTCCCCACACATTAGAAATTTTGCTACCTAGGTATTTTCCCATTCCTAAAAAGATCAAGTTTTAAGACACTAGCAGAAAAAGAAATGTGGGAAGCAGACAGACACATCTCCATCCACTATGGAATGCTTTTAGAATATGCCGGTGGCCTTCGAGTCGATTCCTACCCATAGAGACCCTATTGGACAGAGTAGAACTTCCCCATAGGGTTTCCAAGGCTGAAATCTTTCTCCCGAGGAGCAACTGGTGAGTTCAAACCGTTAACCTTTCAGTTAACAGCTGAGCATTTTAACCATGGCGCCACCAGGCCTCCTATACATATATGTCCACGGCTTTGTAAAGTATTATATATATAGAATATTAAATGAATACATTATAACAAGATGAGTTTTATGAGGTCTTGGGTTTTTTTTGTTTGTTGTGTTTTTGGAAACAGCAGTTGATTCATTCTGGGAATATTTATTCATGTTCCACTTTGTGTCAAGCCATTCTGGTTTGAGGAACACAAAAATGAGCAGATGGTTAGCCCTGCTCTCAACAGGTTTGCAGTCTACTGGGGGAGGCATATATGTTACAGCAACGATAAGACCTATGGCCAGACATGAGCTCAATTGCATGGGACCACAGAAGCAGGCATGCAACCCTGTTTGGGGAGGCTAGGGATAGCTTCACAGAAGAGTTGATGTGTGAGCTGGGTAATGAAGAAGTAGTAAGAGGCTGTGGGGCAATACAGTAGGCAGAGGAAAACAAAGATGTAGCCTAAAGTGAGAAAGAGAGGACATTCATTGAACTGCAAACAGTTTGGAAATGGTTGGCAGAATGTACAATCCAGAGAGTGGTGAGAGGTGAAGCTGCACAGCCAGGCTCAGATAAGATCACAAAGAGGCTGCTGATGAGTTTGACACCTGTAGTTTAGCTGAAATTTCGTTTTTCATAAATTGACACACTCTAGGCTTTTCCCATGTTTTGATAAAGTGATTAGTTACCTCTTCCCTGGTCCACCTAGTTTTCCCCAAATGACGCTTTCCAGACTTGGGAAGCAGCCCATCATAGTCATGATCACACATCTCAATGTCTTCATCATCCTCGTCACTACTGTATATGCTGCCAGAAATAAAAATGGGCAGACGTAAGCTGAAACAAGAGGATTTAAACTATTGGATTACAAAACTTACACAAAAACTCCTCAACAATCTTCTCAAAGTTTACGAAGATAAAACTCTGAAAACTTGCACAACAAGATTTTATTCTACACTCTGGTGCTCTAGCATTGTAAACTGGTTCTGCTGTTATTGGTATCCACAGATACGGCAAAGAACCTGGCACTTTCTTATTACTCTGCATGTTTAAACCTGTTGTTACTGTTAGACCAGTGACAAGTTATACATTTGGCAATCTCCCCACCAATGAAAGTTTATGTTTAAAATTCAATGTTCAAGACAATAAAAGGAACAAGAGCCCACGTCCTTTATATAAGAACACACTCCAAATCTTTGGCATACATCACATTGTTTAAATAATATTTCCCAAACAATAAATAACTCAAATGTTATTTCAATGGGGCTGGTGATTTATTAAAAGAGAAAAAATTCAAGTTGTAATACACTCAGTATTATAATTATAATCATCCCTTAAACAGTAGAGGCTTAGAAGAATCTAAGAAGACGGATTTAAATGAATAAGACCATTAAGTGATCAAAATGTTTTGTAAATAACATTAACATCAAACTGTTCAAACCTCAGGCTCAAGTAGATCCAACCTGTGGCTATGCTTACAATACTCAGTTTCCAAAGAAACAAAGGGAATAATGAGCCCACTCAATAGTCAGAATCTTACTTACTCTTTTGTTTTTACTGCCTTTCACTAAATGGTGTTTGAAATATCCCAAAATGTTCCTAATTCAAAACTGAGGGATTCCCCAGAATAAATCCATGGGTTTAAAAAGAACCCACAACTCTTTTTAAAAGAGCTTTTTCTTTTACATAGCTGATCAAAACAAAGAATTTTGATGACTTTTGAAGTAACTCTATATTTAATGTTTATTAATCATATACTGAATAGATAAGTTATTTCAGACATATGTACTTTTAGTAATAATTTTACTTACAAAACGTAAAATATGAGGAAAATTATACTAACTCAGAAACTTCACTAAAATGTATCATTGTAATATGGAGAAATCCATCAAACTGAGACCAATAACAATCATGAGATAAAGCAGTGTCATAATGTATATTACTTTTTTTTTAAAAAAAGAAATTTATATTTAAGTCAGGTTTTATCTGCCTAAACTAATTCACAAGTGTATATTACTGACCCACTATACGTCAAGCTAAAGTGCTTGCCAAAAAATCCTGAATCTGGGGTTCTTATAATTTAAACCTATTTTTTTTGGTAACAACATGAAGGTCCAGCATGTATAGCGACAGGAAGCATATGATCCACAAAAAAAGTCCACTAAAGTGTATTTATAATCTGTAATCATTCCTTTCATTTAGTGGCTGTCCTTTTAAACAAGAGCCTAGTTCTGTTTCACATTGTAAACAGGAGGCACTAAATAATTTCTGGTTAATAATAATTACTATATTTCCTTTTCATATAAAATACAAACGTCATAAAGCAAAAATACAGATTATTATACTATTTAGAGCTGTAGGTCAGCATCTTCTGAAAGGTTCACAGGGAACTCCTAGGAAAGCCCCCAAAATGAAGTGGCAGCCTTGTGAAACATCAGGGATACCAAGAAAACCAGAGTAATCTGCACACAGAGTCACAGATTCAACTCATTTTAACTTTCTAGGTTTGACTGGATCTGGAGATTGCATTTTCAGAACTGAAGGCTGCATTTTCCAAACTAGTAATTGGGCAAGTCTCTCTTGGAAACAGCTTGGCACCCAGGTACAAGCAACATATTCAGCTGCCCACAGGGGGCAGCCAACATCAGGTGAGAGAGAATAGGAATCCAACAGAACTGGGGTTCTGGAGGGGTTCTGGAGGCAAAGGTGCCAGTCCTAGTTCTGCTTCCATCGAGCTGCCTCATTTGGACAAATCACTTCTCCTCTCTTGAGACCTCAGTTTCCTTGCCTCTAAATATGGGCTTGGATTCGATTTCTAAGGTACTTTTCAGCGCTAAAAATGGACGATTCCATTTCTTCGGTGCCACTGAAAAATTAAGCACAGAAACACAGATGTGCAAAACCAGGTCTTGGGGGGAAAATGTGGTGTGTAACTTTTGCAGGCCCCTAAGGGGCCACGAGGGGAGTAGGGCGAGTCCAGGGCTCTCACACAGTCAGCCCCCTGAAAATCAGCAGGCTTGGCACGGAGGCTCGCCTTTGAGCTTTGCAAGCGATTTCCTTGCTCTGCGTTGTCCGGGTCGCCTCCGTAGCATGATTAATTTCTACTAAGGACCTGAAATAACTTATCCTTTATCTGCTCTGACTAGATCTCAGACCCAACAGTTAGAGGACTTTCAAAAGCTTATTTCAGGGTTGATGCACTCGACTCCCCACCTGCTAGACCCGGTGTGGTTACAGGAGTACAACTATGAATATTACATTCTGTCAAGGAAACAAACCGTGCAAAGAAACGAAAAAGAAAAGGGGGGCTAGGGGTTGGGAAGAGGGTGGGGAGCGGGAGGAAGTGCCTTGTGGCTGCTACTGTGATTCTAGAAAAGGGGTTCAGACTCATTTCGCTGACCTCGTTAATAACCTCCGCGGAGTTGACGCTCGCCCAGCAAGAAACAGCTTCAGGCCGGCAGCCGAGTTTCTCTCCCCCCTTCCCTCCCCCCAGCCCGAGGCAAGTTCAAGGCTCGCACCCCTGCCGGCCACCTCCCCTCTCGGGTACCTGGGAGCCGCAGGGAATCTGCGCGGCACCGCCCTGCTAGGGCAGCCGAGACCTCGGGGCGCAGGGCCTCCACCCGCGTCTCCTCCCTGCCCTCCTCCTCCCTCCAGTTCCTACACTAAAAAAATATAGGTGCCCCCGGCTGCCCCACTGTTGTGTCTCAAAGGTGAAGGTGAAACCTCTCAAGAGGCGGCACTCCCACCCCGCGCGGCCAGGTCTCCGGCAAGGCGCAGGGATTCGGGGCTCCCCCCAGGTCGCCTCCCTTCCTCTCCTGAGCCAAGCCATGCCTTGGCGCTGCTCCCCGGCCGGGCAGGCCCAGGGGTGTCACTGCAGGGCCCACACCAAAGCTCTTTGCAACTTCCCAGCGCCGCTTGAGAACAGCGGCCGCTAGTTCAAAAACATTTAAATAAGTACAAGAAAATCCAACAACCCCTAAGAAAAGTGGGTGGATGTGCTCTGCCCCCACGACTTTACCCCAGAACCCCTTCGCGAGGGTCTGCCCACCCCCGGGCTCAGCCCGGACGCCCTAAGGCGGCGGGCGCAGGGCGCGGGAGGAGCGGCGACCTCAGCCGCGTCCACGTGTGCGCGCGGCGCACGGACCTCTAGTCCGGGGCAAGGGCCCGCGGGGATTGCGTCCTGGTCGCGCGGCAGCGGCGTTGGGGGCTGCAAACCCGGTCCCTTTCCACAGAGTGGCGACTGTGACGGCCGCCAGTCTTACCCCCTGTCCACGGCTGTTCGCAGGGAGCTCCTGCGCGTCCAGTCCGGCAAGTTGAGAAGCCTGTGGAAGCTAGAACGCCAGCAACTGACAGTTCGGACGAGCATCTCCTTCATTCTCGGTTCCCTTTTCCCATCTGCCCGGCCTAAATTTCGGGGATTTCACCCATCTTCCAGGCGAGCCTCCCTAAGTGCGGTGACATGTGCGGCGCAGGCGTGTGTGTGTGTGTGTGTGTGCGCGTGTGTGCAATGTTTGCATTAGAAATAAAAGTCTCCCGAAGAATAATGATTGGAAACTCAAAACCGAGGCTTTAAACAATTTTCGAATGTAGCGACCCCTTTCCTCCGCTAAAATCTTCTTTCCAGCCGTCTGTCAGCTGACACTCTTCTGCGCCTCCACAAAGAATGAATGAAATTTAAATGAACTACCTGCAGCTACTACAATCCGGCATTTTCCCTATAGCTGCCATATGCTCTGCACTTCCAAGTCCAAACATATCTCAATGCATCCAGCAATTACGCGGCGACTCTCTCGCCGACACCCGCGGCATCCAGCCAGGCACCTGGTGGGCTCCTCGGGGCGGTGGGCACCACTCTGCCCTCGGTTGGAACGTGCTGTTCCCCCCCCCCACCCCAAAGAGCAAAGTGTCCCCGTGCAACTTGCAAAAAGAGCCGCAGGGCTTCCTTCCCAAAGTCCTGCTACATTTCCCGCATAGACTCTTCCATTCACTGGTCTCTCGAGCGGCTGCTGCTGCCCAGACAGGGGCTCCGGGTCCTCGCAGGATCTGACAGCCCTGGAGAAGCGCCGGGAACGAACTCCCACCTGCTCTCGGGCGCCTCACGCCCGGCGCGCCCCCGCCCTGCGCCGCCCATCTGGGCTCCCCGTTACCTGTGCCGGGGTCTCCGGGCCATGGCGCGGCGGGCGCGGGGCTCCGCCGGGCGCCACGGGGACCGCACGGGGCTGCCGCCTCCCGCTGGCCGCCGCCTGCCTGCGTCCCTCCCCGGCTGCGCAGCGGCGCTCCGCACCGCCTGGGCGAAGTTTCTCAGGAGAAAGAGGAGGAGGAGGTCGTAGAGGAGGAGGAGAAGGAGGAGGAGGAAACAGGTTGATATTAAAGTATAAACTCTGTAAACAGAGATGCCATCAAACAAAGAGCTTTGGACACTCCCCCTCCCGCCAAATCTGGCGCCCCTGCAGTGCGCACGCGCCCTGCCCGCCGCCTCCGCGGTCGCCCAGGCTGCCGCCCGCGGGGTGCTGGCCCGGACGCCCAGCTCCCAT